AAGCGTCTGCCTTCGGCTCAGGTCATGATCCCAGGATCCTGGGATCGAGTCCCACATCGGGCTCCCTGCTCGGCGGGAAGCCTGCTTCTCCCTCCCCCACTTCCCCTGCTTATGTTCCCTCTCTCGCTGTGTCTCTCTCTGTCAAATAAATAAATAAAATCTTTAAAAAAAAAAGAAAGAAATTAAACTCTTAAATCTTTAAGTTCTGACATCCCTTGAGCTTCAGATATATACTTTTTTTTTTTTTTTTTGCCTCAGATATATCCCAGATGCCCGCTAAGATGTCCTACAGGTATCTCAAATTTATAAATGAATTTAAATTACCATCTTCCTCTTTCAACCTGCCTCCTCTGCCTTCTGTACCTGTCCTCCCTTGACTCTCATTCTCTGTACAGGCTGATGGTGCCATCACGTTTCCAGTGTCCTGAGCTGGAAAAGTAAGAATTTCCTTTTCCCTCACTTTTTTCAGCTAATCTATTGCCAAATTCCAGCCTATTCTGCTTCCTAAATATTTATAGAATCTGTTCTCATCACTCCACCCCTGTTGGATTACTTCCGGTTAGTGCTAGTTCAGGCTCTGTAGGCTGAGGTTTAAGAGCATGGACTCTACAACCAGGCAGACCTGGGTTTAAATCCTGCCTCTCACACTTACGAGCTTTCAAACCCTGGGGAAATTACGCAACCCCTCTAAACCACCAGTCCACAAAGCTGGCTGCCCATGGGAACCACCTGAGGAGCTTTAAATAAAATACTGATGCTTGGCTCAACTGATTTCACTGGAATGGAGTGAGGCCTGAACAGTGCAAATTTTAAAAGCCTCCCCAAGGGATTCCAAGGTGGAGCCACATTTGAAAGGGGCTGCCCTAACCCACAGCTCTCTCTCATTTGTAGCATGGGGTAATGACTGCATGGGGGTCATTGCGAGGGAGTAGTCAGTAAGACAATGCCCGTATGGTCTGGTGTGTGGTAAGCATGCTAGTTATTGTAAGGCAACTCCTATCATCTCTCTGCAGCACTTTGCAGTAGCCTCTTAATGCATTCCCTGCCTTAAGTCTTACCCATCTCCACTCTGATTCTGGAGGGAAAGAGCTAGAAGCAAATCTGATCCTGTCATTTCCTGCTGAAAACCCTCCGGTGGGTCCCCTGCTCTATTGGATAGAGTGGAAGGTCTTGTTTGCCACTCCTCCCCAGCTCGCCCCACCCCCATCTCTCCCTTCTTCTGGCTAATTCTTCATCCTTCATTCTCCACGACTGAACTCAGTTCTATCATTTTCTTTGGGACCTCTGCCCTGACTCCTCTGTGTAGACCTTGCTCTTACTACCTATAACATGTTGAATTGTAGTTTGTGTCTCTCTCCTACTAGACTTCGTGAGGACAGGGCTTAGTCTCTCAGTACAAAGCCTGAAAAATCAAAGTCCTCAAATTGTATTGAAACAAAATAGGTTCGATGCAAAATTTGGCGCATCTATGAAGCCATACTTCTATCTACTTTAGCCCAAATTTATTTCCTCCTCCTCTGTATTCCTGAAGCACTTGGTAATTGTTTCATTCCTAACCAGTGGGTTGTAAGCAACTTAAGGACAGAAACCTTGTCTTTATTCTTTGTAAACTCCCCAAAGCAGCCAGCACAGCAGTTTACTCATAGTGTTGCTTAAAAACACTCACCGGTTGGGACGCCTGGGTGGCTCAGTCGGTTAAGCGTCTGCGTTCGGCTCAGGTCATGATCCCAGTGCCCTGGGATCAAGTTCCGCATCAGGCTCCTTGCTCAGCAGGGAGCCTGCTTCTCCCTCTCCCTCTGCTGCTCCCCCTGCTTATACCCTTGCTCACTCTCTCTCGCCCACTCTCTCTCTCTCTAACAAACAAATAAATAAAATCTTTAAAAAAAACCCAACAGAACACTCATTGGTTGTTGGAAGCAAATAAGGTTTGGAGGAACTCATTCAAGGATCATGGATATAAGCATGAAGTAGAAAACTCTGTTTTACAAAACTATAAAATATAGACCTGCCCTGTCCAGTACAATCACTATTAACCGTGTTTGCTTCCTGAGTGCATGAAATGTGGCCCGTTGAGGAACTAAATTTTAAGTTTTATTTATTTACAATTTATTTAAGTTTAAAAACTCATGCTTGATTTCATTGTTGGAAAACTTTTAAGTATGTTTGGAACAACTCGGATGTATGAATCTACCTTTTAAACTGTAAATTGCGGTCACCTGGGTGGCTCAGTTGGTTAAGCAACTGCCTTTGGCTCAGGTCATGATCCTGGAGTCCCAGGATGGAGTCCCGCATCAGGCCCCCTGCTCGGCAGGGAGTCTGCTTCTCCCTCTGACCCTCCCCCCTCTCGTGCTCTCTCTCTCTCTCATTCTCATTCTCTCTCTCAAATAAATAAATAAAATCTTTTAAAAAAATAAACTGTAAATTGCATGAAATCCAAATACAGATCAAGATTTTGCACTTGGAAAGCAGGATAGCACCTGGCTTGAGATGTGCTGTAGGTATTTGTGCTGGATTTGAAAGACTTAAGTATAATAAAAAGAACGTAAAACATATTGGTAATAATCTTATATTGATTACATGTTTAATGGTAATACTTTGGATATACCATCTTAAGTGAAACATATTACTGATGTTACTACTAGATGTTACTACTAGAAAGTTTGAAATTAGTATGTAGTTTGAATTACATTTTTATTGAACAGAGCTAATCTATTCCAATATAAGACTTTGCTTTTCTATAATCATTGATGGTGAGATTTCATCCTTCTCATTGTCTAAGACAGTTTTTAGTGACTAATGGTGAGTGATTTATAGATAGTTAATAATCTCTTTTGAACTCTTTTCTGTCCATGTAGATCACGATCTGCCTTCTCAGCCCAAGGAGAGTAGCACTGGCCAGAACCATCACCAGGAGGAAATAATCCACAAGTTGGCCATGCAGTTGAGAAACATCGGGGACAGCATCGATTGTAGGATGGTTCAAGAGGTGAGTCTTCGGTTTCCCCAGCAACGGCCAGTCAGGTAGTGAGGAAGAGCAAACAGAACAATGGCTGTCAAGTGGCTGGGACGCCCAGGAATTAGCAGAACACATGGATTAATAACGTCCAGATCATGAAACGTTAGATCTGAAAATTGTGAACCTGAGTCAAAGCCAGTATTTGATCTCACACTTGCTACTCAAACTGTGGTCCATGGACAGCTAGACAGCAGCATCATTTGGCAGCTGGTCAAATGTGCAAAATCTCAGACCCCAGCCTCAGGGCTGGAATCAGAATCTATTTTTTTACATACACCCCAGGAGATCTACGTGCACATTAAAGTGTGAGAAACGTTGCTCCACACCCTCAAACTGGGGTGCATATTAGATTCAGCTGTGCGGTTTTAAGAACCACAGCTGCTTGGGCGCCAACTTGAGAGATTCTGATTAATTGGCATGAGGTGTGGCCTGGGCATCAGGCACTTTAAAAGCTTCCCAGCTGAATCTAATGCTCAATCAGGGAGGAAAAACCTCTGCCTTAGTGGTGGTTTTCCTCCTTGAACCATCCAGAGGTGATGATCTAAGCCCTACTCCTGCTGATTTCTTTGTTTCTCCTGATTAGGAGAGAAGGCAGTGGAGAGAGAATGATATGTTGGCTCCCTGGTGGGGGGTGGGGGACTGCCCTCAGAGCCCAACTTCTTCTTCTTTTTTTAAAAGAATTTATTTATTTATTTATTGAGAGAGAGAGAGAGATCAATCAGGAGCAGGGCAGAGGGAGAAGCAGGCTTCCCGCTGAGCAGGGAGCCTGATGCGGGGCTCGATCCCAGAACCCCAGGATCATGACCTGAGCCGAAGGGAGACGCTTAACAGACTAAGCCACCCAGGCGTCCCAGAGCCCAACTTCTTTCCCTCAAATGGACCTGTCCTGTGATGAATTCTTGCTCATCACTGCTGCTGCCATCATGCTGGCTTCAGGGGGTGCCATGTCCTCTTTTATGGTCTGGTCCAAAGGTGGACAATACTCAGCCTTTCCCTCAGATAAAACATTCCCTGAGACAAAACGTGAACAAAGGGTCAGAGAATAGGCTGCTGTGAAAATCAAATGAGATAATCGGTGTAAATCACTTAGAACAGAGCCTGACCCACAGAAAAAGATCACTAAATGTTATCTCAGCCAAAAAATTAATTTGTTTTCTCCTTTGCCCTCTTCATAGTTGGAGTTGACCACCTCTTTGCTATGGATCATTTATCACAGCATACTCCCGATAGTCACCATTTTCCTTCTAGGCTACAGTTTCTTCTGTAGGAAAGTTTTCACTGATGACTGTACTTTGTGAATTCTAGGGAGGTCCTTAGCTCAACGTTCCTGCATCTTTATCTCCTAACTCTGAGTGCTCTAATTTTTTTCCCTGAAGAGGAGAGAACAGAGGAGGACAAATCACAACACCTGTTTTCTGTATTTGCCTCAACCCAGTCAAGAGGGCACTGCTCTACGTAACCTCCTATTCCATTTTTCTCCCTCCCTCCCCCCTTTCTTTCTTTCTTTCTTCTTTCTTTCTTTCTTTTTCTTTCTTTCTTTCCGTTTGAAGTTGTAATTTACTTATGTCTTAAATTTATGCCTACAGCTTAATAAGTTGACACTGAACTCCCCCAGCTTTTTAAAAAATAAATAACTTTATGGAAGAATAAAATTCACATACTGTACAATTCACCTGTTGAGACTATACAATGAATGGTTTTCAGAATATTCACAGAGCTGTACAACCATCATCAGAATCAACTTTAGAGCATTTTTATCGCTCCAGAAAGACACCCCAGACCCAATAGTTAATAGTCACTTCCGTTTCCTCCCGTTTTTGCTCCCAGCCCCACCCAACTCTTCTGTCTCCACGGATTCGCCTATTCTGAATATTTCATGTAAGTGGACTAATACAATATGCCGCCTTCCATGTCTGACTTCTTTCACTTAGCATGTTTTTTTCAAGGTTCATCCATATTGTAACACCCATCAGTATTCTACTTTTTCTTTCTTTTTTTTTTTTTT